TTATGTATATCCTGAGCCTACACATATGTGACTACAAGGCAGCCAAATTGTAATTTTTTTGTTTATTTATTTTTTAAAACTGCATTCTTATTATATTATAAGCCTCTTTTTAAATAATGCTTGCCAGAGATTTTTTTTAATAACAGTCACATTGTGAAGGTCATCTTTGCATTCTATAGTAATATATTTTTGTCATTTTTATGACTTTATTGGAGTGCCTGCTATTCCTGTCCTTTACATTAATGCAGACTGCCAGCGGCATGAAGAAGTGGTTGATAGCAGGGTAGACGGTTGAAAGGGCAACGCATACAAAAGAAAAGGACACATTTTAGAAGGAAAAATATTTGCTAGAGAAGACACCAAGAAAGCTGTGTTCATCAGTTTAAGATCATGGTGGAGCATTGTGTATATTGTCTGGATTCAGATTACCTCCTCACATGGATAGTGGCCATATGTTCTTAAGTTTCATATTTTATTTTACAAAGCAATGCAAAATGAGATCTTAACTTTGTTTAAGAAAAAAAAAAGTAAACTATGTAAAATATATTGCAAGGATTTCAGCTTTCTTTATGTTAGTTTTTCTTATGAAGATATTATAAAACATAATTCTTCTGGGAGTTGGTATTTTTCCATTATGAGAGGTTCGGAAAGGAGAGAATAATTCTATAAAACACTGACAGGGGGGCTACTGTCACTTTTAGAAAAACAAACATATTAAAGAACTCACTTGGGATTTTCATGTTTTATTTTGCAAAAAAAGTGACTGCTTTTACAGCAGTAGCAAAGTGAGAGTGAAATTCATATAAATACAATTGTTGAACGTAGGATGGAATGGAGGCAGACATTGTGTGCTCACATGTTTCAAACCTTATGATAAATATAAAGATAAATAGGGATGAGCAAATCAATTCACAGGTAGTGGCAAACTTTCTCTGCATTCATATTGCTTGAGGTGAGTACCCCAAAAATCCTATTTTATGCCGTGCCTAAATGTATTCATGTGTTCATGTAGACTTGTCCCAATTTGTCTTGTGTAATTGTGCACAATATAGAATTTGAAAAGCTCAAAGTATTTGCCCACTTGAATTGTTCCAAGTCACTCTTTCTGATGTGGAGCATCAAGTAATTCTGGATCCAGATTAGGATCATGATCATTTATTATTTATTACAGGTATTTTTATAGTGCTGACAACTTACGCAGCGCTTTCCATACTGCTCATTCACATCTGTCCCTGCCCTCAAGGAGCTTACCATCTAAGGTCCCGATCTCACATGCATGCATTCAAGTGACAATTTTAGACAGGAGCCAATTAACCTTCCAGCATGTCTTTGGAGTGTGGGAGGAAACCAGAGTACCCAGGGGAGACCCATGCAAGCAAAGGGGAAACAAGCAAACTCCTTGCAGATAGTGTCCTGACCGGGATTTGAACTGGGGGCCCCTAGTGCTGAAAGATTAGTATATATTTTTGTATTATTTAAGAAACCAACAAGAAACAAAAGAACTACCGCACCAACCAACATTTATCAATGAAGAAAACTCCCTAGCCCCTTCATAAATCCCTAGCTGATAAAAACAGTTACCCCCAAATACAAAAACATGTTACAAAAAAATGTATATGTATCTCACAAATATATTATTTAGTTGGCATAAAATTAACGCCAAGCAAGGATAGATCTGGCCTAATGTGATGACTGCCAGACCATTATGAATGCCACAACTGATAACATGATTTCAGTTAAAATCATATTCTACTAATTAGGGGTGCCTGAGGTGTGTGTGTGTGGGGGAGAGGGGGGGTGCTGGTGGTGCACGCTAACTGGGGGGAGGGGTGTGTGGCCTCTGCATCGTCTCCCTGCTCAGCTCCGGCTGCTGTCCCACCCAGCTCCTTGTGATGTATCTGGTTGCCAAGAGCTGAGCGGGACGCCCGCCAGAGCGTCCCAAGTTCCTAAGAGCTGGGCCGGAAGAAGTGTAAGGGCCATACACAACTCCGCACCCAGCTCTTTGCAACCTGGGACTGGAAAGGGGATGGCAGACTCAATGGAATCTTTGTGCAGCAGAGTGGCCATACCATTCTGCCTGCCGCCCCCCACATGACCCAAAGAGATGGCACCTGAGGCAACAACCTCGGGCTGCCTCATTTTGGGGATGACCCTGATATTAATTTTATTCAGATAGACTAACCCACGATACACATACATATAGGAATTGCTTACTATGCTAAATTGCATATTGATACAAAAGAAAATCATAACCACAATAACATACACAATCCAGAAATGAGAAGATACACTTAGTCAGCATAACAACCAAATGATTAAATCGGAGGAACAGTCAATATTCTCAGGCTTCACCGTTGGCTTCTTATTTTAAAATGTCTTTGCTTGGGCCTTTTCCAGCATGCTTTTAGTGGTACAGTACCCGTTGTGCTTCTCCGTAGGTTGGACAAGTCTGCATGTATATATTTAGGTGAATCAAAAAAGGTTTCCAATTCACCTGAATTGATTCACTCATCCCTACCAATGGTGCTAAAATTGCAATTATGATTAGGTGAACTCTGTATTATGTATAT